AGCTTGAAGATACAAGTATGAACAGATTCACATATAGCCTACAATTCACATTGCAAAGACCAACAGATCAAAAACTAAGTTCTTACTGATCAAATTAAAATAAAAAACATATATATGCAATTCAAAAATTCGCCGTGAACAGAGGATTGACAAGTTTCTTTATGTCATTTGCCAATTTTTTAGCTTTTCAGAGGTGGGAAGCCCAATTTATGAAAAAAATGCCAATCTTGAGATTGACGAACACATGGAAGGAAGACGCATTTATATTGAACAAACAACCAAAAAACAACAGAAGAAAAGATGGGAGTGGGTTGTGGATGGAGAAGGGATTGAAGACAAGATAGGTGCTTGACAGTGTGAATGAAAAACTACCTAATGGGTGATGGAGGTGAAATGGAGGAGAGCTCAGGGAACTGGGAAAGAGTTTGTGGAGGGAAAAATACAATGATTGAGAGTTTGGCTGGGAGGAATTGAGGACAGATGGTCCTGCGTGTGGCTGTATTTGAGGATCAAAGGGCCTTCCTGCAGCCAATAATCAGTCCGGAAGCGAGTTTCCGAACCATTTTCAAGCTTGCTTTTGATGAAGGGCCTTGCTATGGATCTCAGCTGAAGTAAGTAGTTTTCTCCATATCCAACTGCTTTGTTGAGGTATGTATCAGCTTCTGATTAAGTAGAGTCATGGGCTGTTCTAAGTATTTGACATGAGTTTCCACATACGTTTTAAAATTGCAGCTCTGTTTTATGTTTCCAAGCTAGGAAAGCCTAAACCACCATATCTTTTGGGGCTGACATATAGATTTCCAAGCCACTAAACCACCATAGGAATTGTCTGAGTAAACTGTTTGGTCTCTGTTAAAACAGATTTAGGAAAAATGAAGCTCACTAGGAATGATTGAATTAGCTGTACTCTTCCAGCACATGAGACAGGCTTTGTTGCCCAATGCTGAATCCTGTTAGTGATTTTATCAACCAGCACTCTACAATCTGTTTCCTTTAACCTTGTTGACATCAAGGGCACACCCAAATGACTAAAAGGCAGGGTCTCCATTACAAAACCTAGTAGGTGAAGGATTTCAAGCTCGGTAGTAGGGTTAATTCTTGATTTAAACAGAGAGATCTTATGCTTCAAATGTTATTATGAGAGGAAAATGCTAAACTCCCCAACTGAATCAGATGAATAGTCGTCTAATTTTTTTTATTCCTTCACAAAGCAAAATGATGATATATTAACAACTAACAGTTACATCAGAAGACACAGCTTCAAAATACATAAAGGAAATTGAAAGATACACTCTTTTTTAGTTTTGTTTCTAGGAGAACTCCATTAGCATATCTTCTATAACAGAAGCTAGCAACACATGAGATGAAATTATCTTGTTGATAGCATTGAGAATTACTTCTGCATCACTTCCAAATACGACTCTATTATACCCCATTCCATAGCTAAACACAAAGGTCTCCTCAATGTCAAGACCTCTGCCATAGAAGCATCATTGACCGGATAAAAGAGAAAAGTAGCCACCTGAAGGACAACACCATGCTGATTATTTCAGTGTCATGGTATGGGGGAAAAAGAGAGAAAAAAATGGAAACTCAGCTTAGCTTATCTTACTACTACTATTTAGCTTGGACTTTGGCTAAGTTTTTGATCAAATTTTTATATACTGTATGGCATATTAAGTTAAGGACACTTTTAGTTTTACCTAATTGAACATTTTTTTCTTTTTCATTGTGCTAAATAAATAATAATTAATGCATGTGACATAGCTGTGAGGAGGATTATTTCCTAATTAGGACATATTAGGCCTTGTTATTTCTATATGTTTGTCTATGTGTCAGATTCAATTTCTTGAGAAGTTAATTTTCTTTCTTCGTTGATAGAAAAGAAATGAGACACAAGAAATAGAAGTACAATTAGGGAAGATTCTACCTTTGAAATCTTATATATTTATTTATTTCATATGACACTTACACAACATGTGAACAAGGACTCAGGTTCCAACCCACAAATTGGACATATCACCACCTTTCTCCTCATCAAATTTCCCAGCACTGTTGCTTGATCATATAAACTTCTCCAAATAAAATGTTTCACATTAGAATTTACTTTAAGATTCCATACACCAACCCACTGTTGTTTCTTATCTTGGTTACTGCTACTTTCACTGACCCTAGAAGTAGAATCTTCTGAACCCTCCTGTTTAAGATGCAAAGCTAATTGCTAGGCTGATTTTATGCTAAATTCACCTTTAACTGATCATATGAGTTAATTAAGTTTTAAAACTGAAGGTCATTAACAGCCTTAACAACAAATTCTTAGTAGAAGAAGACTTTCAAAGCTTGGCCCCAAGTTTTCAACTAATTGGCATCCATTTATCTGATCATGAATTTGGTAATGTCGACAGTACTACTGGAGCCTTTCCCAACTTCCTTTACTACCAGAAGGACCTCCAACAAGTTCAGCTCTCTCAAATAAACTTCAAGGGGAAATTTCCAAGTTGGTTGTTGGAGAATAATACAATATTGGTTAAACTTTTCCTACCATATAATTCTTTCAGTGGGCCTCTCTGTCTGCCATCAAATCCCAACTCTAAGCTTTTGGAATTGGATATCTCCAACAATTTCCTCAGTGGCCCTATCCAAGTTTAAAGTTCTTAAACATGCCCGGAAATCGTTTTGGAGGTAGTATTCCCTCTTCAATAGGTGATTTGTCCTCCCTATGGTTTCTAGTGTTATCGAGTAATCAATTGTCTCGTACAATACCCAGGCACTTGGCCATGGGTTGTTTCACCTTGTCATTCTTTAAACTATCACATAACAATTTGCAAGACCCAATATTACCAACGAGTCATAACCTAACTCGCTTGATAATTTTAGAGTTGGACCAAAATCACTCAACAGAGATCCCAGATAGCATTTCTAAATACATAGTTGTCCAATAATCATCTTGAAGGTCCCATTCTAACAAAGTTGTGTTCAATTAAGTGGCTTTGGTATACAATTATTTTTTATATGTGATCTGATTTAATAAAGATGAAGAATTTGAATAACAACAAAAGAAGCTCCTTTCCAAAAGAAAGGTCTCAGAATCTTCTCAATCTCCTTGCAAACCTTCTTGGGCAGAATGAATACGGAACTCCAATATACTTGGAGAGAGAACAGCACTGACTTATTCTCAATTGCAAGAAATGTTCGACTCTCCAATTCCAAAAAAATTTCAAGAACAATGTTAATGTGTGAGTATATCTCATGGTTAAACTGTATTCCAAGCCATAATTTCATTTTATGACTTGCTATTCAAGAAAGGCTTCAAACACAGGAACACTCGGAGTATGCTTCACTACCACTAGCCCAATTAATTTTGCTCCTTTTGCTTGTCATATGATGCATCATACTCCCACCTCTTTTGTGGTTCATTCAACTCAAGTGTGGGTTTCACATTATGCCTTCAAGCTGGAATGATCTCATTGCATGGTTCTCTCACCATTGGAAGGATAACCAAAGGAACTACTTAGTTTGGCTATGTAAATTTGGTCTCGCAGCAAGTGTGTTGTGACGACCTCTATGGTGGGTGTTGTCTGTAGTGCTAACTAAGTTTTGAACTCTATTCTTGAGATGAGATTTGCCATCTTCTTTCATCTCGAGTGACTCTCAATGCAAGATTGTTTCAAGGGGAGGTCTGCAGTGCTAACTAAGTTTTGAACTCTATTATTGAGATTGGATTTTCCATCTTCTTTCATCTCGAGCGACTCTCATCTCTCTCCATTGCAGAGGAACGATGCTCTGATCATCGATTTAGAGCAACGGTCCTCTGCTTTGAATTATAAATAAAAATTAAACATGTTACATCTAGGTATTGTAGATAATATATATATATATATATATATATATATATATATATATATATATATATATATATATTAAACATGTCACATTTGTTAGATTTGCTATTGGACCCCATTGATTGGACATCTTATGGACAACAGAAGTCACATAGATGTTTGAAGTGTTGCCTAATAGGCTCAGAAAAAGGGCATTCGAAAAATAGGTGATGTATAGACTCTGCATTAGAGTAGCAGAGTGACCAAAACATTGGGGATGTGAATGGAGGATAAACATAGGACAGTCAGGGTGCGTTTGAGGCTAAATGAACCATTCGGCATAGGAATCCAAATGGTCGACCCTTCTGAGGAAGGGTTCAAAGGGACAATTTTGTTGTTCCTATCGAGAAAATCAGAAGGAAGTCATGAAAGGGCCATTAGACATGATCATCAAGGAGTTTTGAACAAAACCAGTCTGGGCTTGCTAAGTACAGCAAGCTTATACGATTTAAGCAATTCAACCCGTAAATTTCACTTCTCTGTTTTTTTTCCCCTCCTTTTCTTCTGAGTAGGAAAATTCCAGTTTACTGTAGTAATTTGAGAGATTGTCTTAAATTTAGAACATTGCTTATAAACCTTGAACTTGATTACCTGAGACTGATGGTAGAATACGTTTCAACTTAATTTTCCATTTAAAGTTGATCTCTTAGGTGGACTTGTCATTTTCTAGATCCTGATCCTTCTCAAAAGAAAACAACTGTATGAGTAGAATGTTAGAACGTAGTTAATGCAATAATTTTGCAGAAAATTTGTGTTCCTTGTTTGTTTATTAATCTGATTTTGATCAGAAATTTGTGTTCCTTGTTTGTTTATTAATCTGATTTTGATCAGTGGTGTTTAATTGCTTATAGTATCTGAAAGAATAACATATTCTATATACTCGTTAAATTGCAATTTTAATTATCAATCATGATTATTCTTCACATTCAAATTTGGCACACATCGCTGAGGAATAGGAACTCAATTTCTATATGTTCTCACCCATTAAAAGATGATAATATTACAAAAAATGTGTCATGTATCAACAAATTAACCTTCAACGTCAATAAAAAATAATAATATTCCTATAAGAAGAGAAATATGAATTTGCTTTGTTCTTGTGCTCTCTCTCTACTACTACTATGGATTAGGAACAATCCAAATGGGTGCTGGGTCAATCTTCTGCAAATAATCTTTATTAATCAATTCAATACTCCGATCCTCCAAATCAAACCTGCCTGTGTCATGACCTCTATACATGTGAGGCTCATATTTTCGATCCCTGTAATCATCCGTGAAGTAAATCGAATTCCTTTTCCAAAATGGAAAACTCTCCTGTGATAGTGAAACAGAATGATTCCTACCCAAAAAGAGCAATCGATCGCCCAAGGATTCCAGCTTCACCCACCTTCTCTGATCAAAATCAAGCTTGTAAACATGAAAAACCTTTGTCAAACGCTTCCCAATATACCTCATAATAAGCAGAATATCACCCTTTGACTCCACCATGTAACACCGTCGACTATTTCCAAGAAGAGACTTATCAAGTTCAAACTTTTTCCTAGGAAAAGAAGGCCTAAAGTCCATCTTTTTTGTTGGGATATTCAAACAAGTGTTGAAATCCCAAATTTCAACTGACAATGTCTCGGCTAATGCAAAAACATGATCTTTGTAGGAAATTATATCACAATAGGGTTGATGTGTACCGTTGAGGGCAGTCCATTCACTGTGTCCACACTTAGAATATGCAAGCTTTGAAGAAGAACCACATATTACCACAACCCAATATTTTTCACTGTGAATTGGGTGTGATGTGAGTATAGCTTTCTCAATTGGATGGACAAACAAACCATAAATGAAGGTTCTGCAAGCGACACAAGGAAGTTGAATCTGAACCTCCAAGAATGGACTAAACATAAATGGGGCTGCTTTTTTGCGGTCTAAAAATATCAGCCACCCGCGAGATGATCCAATGTGACTGGCGGCCATGTGTTCTGGGATATTCTTCAGCTGCTTGTACACCTTTTTCTCTGCAAAATTATATAAGCAACGGCTATTTTTGTTGCCTTGATCACCATCTTGAGTAGGAAGTAGGAGCAATGGTGGTTGATCAAACAATGGACTTGATGGTGATGATATCAGGGCTTTTGCAAGAGAGCACCAAGAATGAAAGACTGCTCCGGCGCGAAGCGAGTCGACGACTGTCAATTGGTTCAGAATTGATTCCCACAAGTCAGACGGAAGTCTAGACCAATCTGGTGATGATTCTGATGATGTTTTTCTTCTTTTGGTGGGATGACCCAAATGGGTTTTGTTGGCCATCATTGTCATGTGTTTAGGCTTCAATTGTTGTGCAAACAGACCTTGCAGAAGTTGGAGTAATACGAGTTGAAGGTTATGCTTCTCCGAGACAGAAAACGAAAGTTATGCTTCTGTAGGGATTCTGTTAACAATATACTATGTGGGTGTGAAGGTAAGTAGGGAAGTTCATGTCCAAAAGGAAACAAAAACAAGAGTTATTTTTACTTCAGGAAACTAAATTCTAAACCAAAACAAAGAGTTGCTTTCAATTTAGGAAACTAAATTCTGAACCGATTTGTTTGGACTTCCAATTATGTGAACCACATAAACAAAAACCAAATTCTCATGGTGATGGACCGATGTTGATTCTGAAAGATTATTAGATATTTTATTCAATTCAAATGTTTTCTTTTTTATTTATTTTTTGGAAAGAAAAATTGATAAGGAATTTATTTTTAGAATTGTGGTAAAGTTATAATTGCATCCTCTTTTTAAATAAATAACTGTACCCAATTTTTATTTTTATTTTATTTTTTTGACAGTGTGGTCGGACTTACAGAAGTCTCTTTATGGGTTTCAAAGCTAGCCCAGTTTGGACTCTAAATTTCTACTTGGTTTTAGTTGGAAACTTGGACAACACAATTCTTTTTTTCTTTTTCTTTTTTATTTTTTATTTTTTATTTTTTTTATTTTATTTTATGTTTTTTTACAAGGACAATACAATTCCACTATGCTCAAATCGAACCAATTTTTCGAATAGGAATTAAACCATTTTGTTTGTCTTAATTACAATTCACAAACAATTACCCGCTCAAAATACCTTTTATTTTTGCATTTTAGTATACAATTATTTCATATACGTGATCTGATTTAATGATGATGAAAATTTTGACTTTTTCAATTGCAAGACATGTCCCCTATTATATACGGAATGTGCAAAAAAAAAAAAAAAACTCTACAAAACCTTTACAATTTTAAATTTGAGCAAGTAAGGAAATTTTTCCAATTTGAATATTAAAATACCTAAAATGCCCCTTAAGGCAAAATAAAAAATAAATACTCTTTATATACACAAATTTCATTAAGGGTATTTTAGAATTTTTATATCAAAAAATTGGTCAAAATTGACAACCGGAGCAATTTGCTACATAATTTTAAATTATAGGAATTTATTATATTCACATACTAAATAGGAGGGGTATAATTTTAAATTATAGGAATTTATTATATTCACATACTGAATAGGAGGGGTATTTATTGCACATTTTTTATATAACAAGTTTTTTTTTTTTTTTTTTTTTTTTTTTTTTTTCACTTTACCCTGTATGTTTAAAACAAATCAATAAAAGTTTACTTATTGAATATATTTAAAAACATATATATTATGTCTTTATAATGTATCTATACGTTGTTTTTTTTTTTTTTTTAATTATTTTTTATCTAATGATATCCTCACCCTTTAGGGGAGATGAATCTCCTACACCCAATGTCTCAAGCAGCATAAATGGTTTTCCTAGAAAATCCTGTTAATCCTGTTACGAACTATAAATGTCCATCAACCCTATGTATTAATGAGGACTGCTAATTGCAGTCGCGGCTGCGATTAGTTATAATTGGTTAAAAAAATAACTATAATTAATACATTGATTCTATTTTTATGAAACATTAAACTCTAATTTTATAAGACGAAATTATTTTCTTTTGTTTGTTGATTATTCTCTCTCCTCTTTCCATGTCTGTCTATATAGATATATATATATATATATATATATATATAATGCATTATTTCCTTTTCTTTTCTTTTCTTTTTTTCTTTCTTTTTTATTTTTTGTTTGAATCGTCTTTAAATGGATTCATTCTTTCCTTCTTTGTTTTTTCTTTCTTTTTTCAATATATATATTTTTTACCGTTGATGGATTAAATATTATTTATTTATACTTTAGATGTGAATTTTTAAGACTGTAAATTTTAATTGAAGTAAATTATAGAATTGAATTTTTGTTGAAGTAAAATTGTATAATTGAGTTTAATTTATTTGTAAAAGATAGAAGTGAATAGTTTAATAAATACAGAGGGAGAGAGAAGTATAGTGGTGATAATTGAATTTTAGTTGAAGTAAAATTGTATAATTGAGTTTTTATTATTTGTAAATGACAAAATTGAATGATTTAGTAAAGACCAAAGAGAAGCATAGTGGTGATGAGATAGTCACACTTTAGAGAAAAAATGGTTTGAGTGATAGATAATTATTGATGATAACATATGATAGATGATTGATTTTGAAAAAAAAATAATAATAAGAAAGAAGAAAGATATATGCACAAACACATGGGAGGAGAGAGAATACAATTCAAGAAAGAAGGTAATATTATTTTATAAAATTAGATTTTAATGTTTCATAAAAATAGAAAAAGTGTATTAATTATAACTATTTTTGTAATCAATTATAGATGCGACTGTCTGATGCAATTAGTAGTCCTCATGTATTAATATATGTAATACTTATAACATTAAGGGCTAATTCCATAAAACCTTTATTATTTTTAAAATTTGATCATAAATTCTCAACCTGTTTTAGAAAACTCCTTACACTTTAAAAAGTGATCAAATTGTCCCAATATTTGTGTTCGACCCGTTAACCCAGTTGTGAAATGACAAATTTAACCTTACAAATTTAATGTTAAATTTAAAACTAAAAATAATTTTTTTTAAAAAATTACAAAAATACTCTTTTAATTATCTTCTTCACCAAAGCCTCCCCCCCCCCCTCGCTCAAACTCACCCCTCTCTAAATTATTTTTGTAATTTAAAAAAATAATTTTAAATTTTAAATTTAACATTAAATAGTAAGGTTAAATTTGTCATTTCACAGTCGGGTTAATGGGTCGGACACGAATATTGGGACAATTTGATCATTTTTTAAAGTGTAGGGGATTTTTTGAAATAGGTTGGATGTTTATGATCAAAATTTGAAAGTAGTGGGGTTTTTATGGAATTAGCCCTTGTTAAATATTAATTATTGCATGTTAATATTTAGGAGAATTAATTTTTTAACAATTTGTTTGTAATTTATTAAAAAATTGCAATAAGTTTTAATTTTATTATTTAATTATATATATATTTTTTGTTTCAGAGTAATTTAATCTGAAACTAATTCAAAGATCATATTAATTTTTCACTAGACTTTGTTTGGTTAGGTAGAAACGACTAGAAAAGAAAGAAAAAAGAAAATTTTTAATTTTTTTAAAAGTTTGGATAGATGGAAAGAGAATCGTAATGGAAAATTAGTTTCCCGAGTTTTTTCCCCCAAAATTTTATTTTCGCGTGAAAGAATCCCCTATTTATTTGTTGTTCCAATTTTACCCATAACTTAATCATTGCAAAGTTCTCTCCAAAGGTAAGTTCTCTCTCAACATTTCTCTGGCAACGCAAATTATACATTTAATACAGAATATCAATGATAATTTGTATAAAATTGCTCCTTCTAAATAGATTTTTTTTTTTTTTAATTGTCTGTTCTATGTTACAATTTTAGCCACTCATAATCCCAAATCATACTTAAAATAATGAGTTTAATAGTCTTAGATCACTATTACATATATAGTTTCAGAATTTTTGATAATAAAGGGACGCTATTTTAACGATTTTTTCGTTCCAAATATATACACAGTATCCAATATATATAAGAGACAACATATATATATATGTATATATACACACACACACACACCTCTCTCTCTCTATATAAACTAATATACAATATAATCGGAAAACTTTCCCCAAGTAGTTCTGCTACTATTTAAATTTTGATGGAAAAACTTTGTTCGTTGAATGTTTTATTGAAAAACCATATTGAACTTTTAATTTGGTATATTAATGCAAGTCATTTTTGTATGGGTATATGGGTATGGATATGTGTGTATATATATATAGTTATATTGTGAAATATTTGATTTTTTTTTTTTTTTTTTTTCTAAAAGGATAGTTTTGGTGTGTATAATCACTTTCTTTTCATTTTCATGCTATCCAAACCAACAAACTAATATTTTTCTACAACTTTCTTCATAAATTTTCCATGCTAACCAAATGCATGCTATAAAATCTATTTTCTTTTCATTAACTTCACTTTTCATTCACTTTCTATATCTTTTCTTGTTTATTTTTATCTAATCAAACGGAGCCTATGGAGATTAGCCATATAAGTAATCCAAATAAACCCGACTTTATAATATGAAATTTAAGCTCGAATTGTAAATCCGGGTGTAAAAGTAGAATGATGAGTTGAGATCAAGTTGACTAATTAAGGTTGAAGATATGATTAAAATTGGGCTGGAGTTGGACTCGAGCTAGATCTCCAACCTGCCTAACCCGCCCATGTTGCAGCCTTAGTGCACATTGGCAGACCTGGGAGATAGATAGACTTTGGGCCAAGAAGTTGGCCTAGAAGAGGCCGATTGGGTCTTTAGACCTAGCCCAATTAACTTCAGTTGGATGCTACTGGAGAACTTATTAAGACCTAACTAGTCCTGTCCCGTTTGGTCATTGAGGACTCTTACCAAGCACATACATGGCAATACCCAACTGCGAATGCAACCTGATTGAAATCGCATTTGTAACAGAAGGATGGTAATCGGTCGTCTTTGAACGGGATCCACCGAGATTCTCCATTGATTGTCGCCAAATTCTTCAGATTTGAGTGCTTGAAAATTGTATTAATGAGAAGTTAGATTGTGAAGAAGGAAAAGGTGGGTGGTTGTGAGTTGTGGTGGTAGACAAACAACTGAACAATTATGGACTTGGAGGAAGAGTACGATCCATCGGAAAGCGTCGACGAAGAGGAAGAGATCACCCAAGAAGATGCGTGGACCGTTATCAGTGCATACTTCGAAGAAAAGGGTTTGGTTCGTCAGCAGCTCGACTCGTTCGACGAGTTCATACAGAACACTATGCAAGAAATCGTAGATGAGTCTGCCGATATTGAGATTCGTCCCGAGTCGCAGCACAACCCAGGCCACCAATCCGATTTCGTCGAGGTTCGATCAACAACTATATTACTTGGCTTTATATTTAGGGCTTCTGGATTGGATTGTAGTCTCAGAAAAAAAAACCCAATTCAAACCCATAAAAGTCGAAATTGAAGAATTTGCTTTTGTAGAATTGAAACATCAACTGGAGCATATTTATGTGATTTTCGTACAGAATAGTCTTCTTCAGTATGGGGTTCATGGTTTCGATTTCTGTCTAGGGTTTATGGGTTGTTCATGAGAGATCCTAAATATTGTGATTGTTCAACTGACTTTTGAACTTCTGATATGAAGTACTTTCTCATTGGTTGGTTGCTGTAGTTGGCTGGTCAATATAAACTTTGGTAATAGTTTGATTGAAAACAGAAATTGAAGATTTTTATGAGATTTTTAGCGTGAGTAAGTGGCTCTCTCTGGTTAGTTTCATAGGTTGTTTCCCTAGGTTCTTAGCTGGTTCGTCAGAAATCCTAAAATTTTATCATTCTTTGGCTGAAACTGAAAACATGGGTTTTGTTTCAGATATTGGTCAGTTGTTTTGTGAATATAGACTTATGTAACACTCTAGTTGGAAGTATAAATTTTAAGCCTTTTTATGTGGTTTTATGACAGGGAAGAGTATTTCATTTATAGTGTTCGTGGATTGCATTTGAATGAACCTAAGAGAAAAAGGATCTAGGATTTGCGATTGTTTAATCGCCATCATAATTTAAGTTTTGCATCTAGGGTTTCTGGGTAGTTCATGAGAGAACTAAATATTCTGATTGTTTAACTGAATTTTGAAGCTGATGATATTGTTATAGGTAATGAAACTATGCTAAATTAGAGGTTTGGAGAGAAGCTATAACATTAAAAGGATTTAGGTAAGTAGAAATAAACTAATTTTATAGAGTAACTGAAGCAAATCTAGAAATATAAATAGGAATGTACTGAATATTTAGGGTCAAGAAATATCGATAAGTGAGCATTATCAAAATTGAATGGTTAAATGGAGGAATGCGTTTAGAATATTGCGTGATTGGAAATGTGAATGTTAAGATGGGTGTGCAACAAGACAAGAAGGATAAAAGTTATAAATGAAAGCTTTTGTGAGATCGTTGAAGCAACCACGCAAGCGCTCGCTCGAGATGAATTGAGAGAAAATCGATCAATATGGTTTGGGCAAGTGCAAACAAGACTACCTTAGATATAGTGAAATAGAATATCTGCTTGAAGTAGTTGGGTAAAAAATTGTTAGGTTTAACTGAATGATGAACTTCTGATATAAAGTAGTCATTGATTAGTTGCTATAGTTGGTTGGTCAAGATAATGTATGTTAATAGTTTGACTTAAGTCGGAAATTGAAGATCTTTATGCGATTTTAGTGTGAAGTAGCTTTAGGTGGTTGGTTTTGTAATTTGTTTTTCTTGTGTTCCTGGGTGGTTCTTGGAAAAGCCTTTTTTTTTTGGTTAGTTTGGGAGAACTGAAATTATGGTTTTGCTTCAGATAATTGGTTAGCTGTTTTATGACTATACAGTTCTGTTACACTGGAAATCCTGGGTTGCTTTAAATGAACCTAAGAGACAAAAGGATCTAAAGATTCATCTTTGTTTGATTGTAACTGTAATTTAATTTTTACCAGAATCTATGGTATTTATTGGTTAGTTAATGCAATTGTACGTGGGAGATAAAATTTGGTTATTGTTTGATGGGAAGCAAAAATGAAAACAAATTTTATGTTGGTCTGAGTTCCTTCTTGATGTTGGATTGTCATTTCTTAGTTTCTTGCCTTAGAAGCACGGACAATTCTATGGAGCTTCCATGTTTGTGACATTTGTAGACACTTTTAGACACGTGTTTGAACTTGTCCTTGTCTGTAATTTCCAAATAAATTACATTATGTCATACACTTGGCCGGTGCAGCTAAAGCACTGCCCAAGTGATTTTTTTAGCACAAACACATTTTAAAATGAATCACATAAGACAATTTTGGAAACAAGATGGCATACCCGAATTATTCAACCTTCCTTTTTCTATGGTTACGTGGTCACCACAAATACAATTGTAATGGCAAAAATATGGTAAAAGTATAGTAGTAGTATATTTAATATAATTATCTTTCTGACTTAAGCCTCATCTTCCACATTATAAATTAATGGAAGTTCTACATATTTTATATAATAAATATGCTTAACAAAGCCTTTTTTCCCAACTATTTAGGGTCAGCATTTTATATAAATAGATATACAAACCATGTTCGTATTCTGTTCTTTAAAACTAAATGTGATTTTAAATGCCACAAGAGAAATAAATTATTTTTGTTATACTATCCATAGAGTAAACAGTTTTGTTGATTGCTTGATTGAAAGTATAAATAGAATTTCCTTTATGGGCTAACTTTGCTTCTTGGTCGTAATGATTATGGCTATCTTGCAGACCATCTATAAGATTAGCTTTGGTCAGATATATCTTAGTAAGCCAATGATGACAGAGTCAGATGGAGAAACTGCGACTTTGTTTCCGAAGGCTGCGAGATTGAGGAATCTAACATACTCAGCTCCCTTGTATGTGGATGTCACTAAGAGAGTGATAAAGAAAGGGCATGATGGTGAAGAAGTAACTGAAACTCAGGATTTTACTAAAGTCTTCATTGGGAAGGTACGTGAATTGGATTCGGAACTGACGAAAGTTTGACATCTGGGAATAGGCTCTTATGCCTCTTTGTTGTCCTTAGGATTGACTTTCTGCTTCTTTTTTGACATATACTTTAGGTTCCTATAATGCTCCGGTCGAGTTACTGCACATTATATCAGAATTCAGAGAAGGATTTGACGGAGCTGGGAGAGTGTCCATATGATCAAGGTGGGTATTTCATTATCAATGGGAGTGAAAAGGTTCTAATTGCTCAGGAGAAGATGAGCACCAATCATGTCTACGTGTTTAAGAAGAGGCAGCCAAACAAGTATGCGTATGTGGCGGAAGTCCGATCAATGGCGGACTCCCAGAACAGGCCACCCAGTAGCATGTTTGTGCGGATGCTTTCGCGGACCAGTGCCAAAGGGGTAATGGGCATTAAATGTGGTGTTTAGGGGTGTTTTTTGGAACACTTCTTTTTTTTTTTTGCCTTTTGAGTTCTTATTGGAATTTATGAATTTTTTGTTTTGTTTTTGGGTATGTTATGTAACCGCAGGGCTCCTCAGGCCAGTATATTCGTGCTACCCTTCCGTACATTCGGACTGAGATTCCTATTATTATTGTGTTTCGGGCATTAGGATTTGTTGCTGACAAAGATATATTAGAACATATTTGCTATGATTTCGCTGACACTCAGATGATGGAGTTGCTAAGACCCTCCTTGGAAGAAGCATTTGTAATACAAAATCAACAGGTAACTCTCCCACTGTGTTATGTCATCATTTTTTTTGATCTGTTATCCCTTTTTCTTTTTTTTTTTTTTTTTTTTTAACAGGCGGTTAGTGTGAGATTACCTTTTCTTTCTGGTTTGCTCTGTATTGAATAAGCTAAACTTCAAGCAATATGAATAAATATAGTGGTTCATGTTTCTGATATGAACTAAACATAATCTTTGGGCTTGCTGGCATTTAAATTGTTTTTACCTTTCAAAAGTAATGTTCTTTTAGTTGTAATTCATATTTGATTTCTTAGCAGCTTCAACATCTTTGTTTAGGTTTCAGCTCTTGTTTCCTAGATTGCAAATTCAGTTTCATTTGTATAAATTAATTAATTTTGGAACTTAATCTGTATATGTTATTGTAAATGTTAGCATCCATTTGATTTCTTCTCTCTCACGTTTCTTTTCTTTTCTTTCCTTTTTTTCCTTTTTTTTTTTTTCCCTTTGCTTTTCTTGTGGTGGTGTGGCAGTGCGGCCTTACTGAGATGGTTGTGCTTTTCTTCCTGTATTGCAGGTCGCACTGGACTACATCGGGAAACGAGGGGCCACTGTTGGTGTCACAAAAGAAAAGAGGATTAAGTATGTGTTATGATTGCTTGCTGTTGCCATACTCGAGTGTAAAGCTATCTTTTGTGTTTCTTTTTTTGTTTAAGGAGTCTCCTGTTCATTTACTTCATAGGTATGCCAAAGAGATCCTCCAAAAGGAAATGCTTCCTCATGTTGGTGTAGGAGAATATTGTGAGACAAAGAAAGCTTATTATTTTGGGTAGGTTTCGTCTAATTTGAGTATGTTCCCTTTTTGTGCCTTCTTAGTGATTTAGAAAGACACTAATTACTTTTCTACCAGATATATTATTCACCGGCTTCTGCTATGTGCAATTGGACGAAGGGCGGAGGATGATAGGGATCACTATGGCAATAAGAGACTTGATCTTGCTGGTCCTTTGCTTGGTGGCCTCTTTCGAATGGTTTGTCATTGCTTTAATATTTTGGAGCTTCTATGACCATTTGAAAGTCCTTGATTTTCATTTGGGTTTTCAAAGATTTTGGGTTTCTAAAGTTTTGGTGGTTGTTAATATCACTGCAGCTATTCAGAAAGTTAACAAGGGATGTGAGAGCTTATGTTCAGAAGGTTATTTTAAATACCGAGTCTTCTGTATAGTTTATATTTGATGCTTTTGTTGGTGCTTGAATGTATATAATTTTGTGCATCATGCAGAGTGTTGACAATGGGAAGGATGTTAATCTGCAATTTGCAATTAAGGCGAAAACAATTACTAGTGGCCTTAAATATTCCCTTGCTACTGGGAACTGGGGACAGGCAAATGCAGCCGGTACAAGAGCTGGAGTTTCCCAGGTTGATTGTAATTGTCCTTTTTTTTTTTTTTTTCTTTAGAAGTTTGTGTGCTGAATGTGCAGTATCATTTTAAAAATGTTATGCTATTTTTATAGGTGTTAAATCGCCTAACGTATGCCTCCACTTTGTCGCACTTGCGAAGATTGAATTCTCCTATAGGGCGAGAAGGTATTTTAGTTTTCTATGCAAGTGTTTGTTCAATGATGCTGTTAAGGGTCTAGATTTCCCCACAAGGACTGTCTCTCTCTCTCTCTCTCACACACACACATACACAGTTTCATCTATGGTGCAACTCCATTGCTTGTTTATTTTTTCTTAACCTTCACCTTTGACTGTGTTATAATGTGCATTTACCAGGGAAACTAGCAAAACCACGGCAGTTGCACAATTCCCAATGGGGAATGATGTGCCCTGCAGAAACTCCTGAAGGACAAGTGAGTATGCTTCATAATATAGAACTCTGCGTTATAATTTGCATCTTTTTCTACTTACATTTGTGTGTCATCTGGTGTTACATTAGGCTTGTGGACTGGTAAAGAATCTTGCACTGATGGTGTATATAACAGTTGGATCAGCAGCATATCCCATTTTGGAATTTTTGGAAGAATGGGGTACTGAGAATTTTGAGGTGAGTATTTTGACTTTTGTATGTGTGGATGTTATAATTTTCATTAGCTTCTTTCCTTGTTTTACAATTTTCCTTTTAATTTAGGAAATCTCTCCTGCGGTGATTCTACGGGCTACGAAAATATTTGTTAATGGTTGTTGGGTTGGCATTCATCGTGGTCCTGACATGTTGGTGGAAACCCTGAGACGGCTGAGGAGACGGGTAAGCGCACACATATTTTAGGTGTTTCACATAAGATCCTATTGAAATCTTTTGTGAATTTTTCCACTTCTGATGATATAGTTATAACCTGCCAATGCTTTGGCTGTGAAAAGACCATATGACCCCTTTTAGCGTGTTGCTTGTGTTCTTTCTTTCCTTATATATATATATATATATGTATGTATGTATATTCATTAAGTGGAGTCCCTGGATCATTTGTGATGTACAAACACTTAATTGCACAGGTTGATGTCAATACTGAAGTTGGGGTGGTTAGGGATATCCGTTTGAAAGAATTACGGATTTATACTGATTATGGACGTTGCAGTCGACCACTATTTATTGTGGAGAAACAAAGACTTCTTATAAAAAAGAAGGATATCCAAGTGTTACAACAAAGGGTATGTTCAATTAAAGTTATTGACATATGTATTGGCAAAATGTATATCCTCAATGATGCCAATGGAATATCTTTATTTCAGGAAACCCCAGAAGAGGGTGGCTGGCATGATCTTGTAGCAAAGGGATGTATAGAGTACATTGACACAGAGGAAGAAGAGACTACTATGATTTCCATGACAATTAATGTGAGTATCCAAGAAACAGTTTCAGTTTGGCTCAAACACCTGTCTCGAATTGTTGTGTTAATCAACCATCACTTCAAGATATAATGGAACATTTACTAAATGTTAATGTTAATTGCTCTAGGATCTTGTAAGTGCGAGGCTTAATCCAGAGGAGGCGTATTCTGAAACTTATACCCATTGTGAAATCCATCCATCATTGATATTGGGTGTTTGTGCTTCAATTATACCATTTCCTGACCACAACCAAGTAAGTTTATCATGCTGATGACTTTTATCTGATAAAGACATATTTTCTTCCCTATCGTACTTATTTACTGTTTTTGCGATCAGTCTCCACGTAATACATATCAGTCAGCTATGGGTAAGCAAGCCATGGGAATTTATGTCACCAACTACCAATTACGTATGGTATGAAATTGTCTTCCTGCCCTTCTCTCCCTTTTTCTCCATTTTCTTCTAAATTTTAGCTTTTCTTATGCATGTTGTCTTCTATGACAAGTTAGGATTACTTATTATTATCTAAATCTTTCAGGATACGTTGGCCTACGTTCTCTACTATCCTCAGAAGCCTCTTGTTACCACTCGAGCCATGGAGCACTTGCACTTTAGGCAGCTACCTGCTGGCATTGTAACTTCTTGCTTTTGTAGCAATTTCTTTCTGCCTCACTTTGGTAATGGTTCTGACAACCTTTTCTGTGTCTTCCTTTCTGATGTAGAATGCCATTGTTGCCATAGCCTGCTATTCTGGATATAACCAAGAAGATTCTGTTATTATGAACCAGTCATCAGTAGATCGTGGATTCTTTCGGTCACTATTTTTCCGATCATATAGGTAATTAAATTTATATTTCTTTTCCCATAATATTTTTGCATGTTAATTTCTTTGCTTGTTTGTAATTTCTCTTTCAGGATCAGAGATATTGCATTACTAATTTTCTTTTCTACAGGGATGAAGAGAAGAAGATGGGGACACTAGTTAAAGAGGATTTTGGACGTCCTGATAGAGCTAATACCATGGTAAGTGTTGAGTTTGTATACTGTTGGTGCTTTCCTGCTTGTGTGAAACTGGCATTTATCTGAGGAACTGTTTTCCAGGGCATGCGACATGGTTCCTATGATAAATTGGATGACGATGGTCTTGCCCCTCCTGTGAGTTTATGCAAATTTGGTTGCTTCCACGTTCTTTCCTACTTGATTCAAATATTCTAAAATTGAGCTATCATTATATATTAGGGAACCAGAGTTTCAGGTGAGGATGTAATCATCGGGAAGACTACTCCTATTGCTCAGGATGATGCTCAGGGACAAGCTTCACGTTACACAAAGCGTGATCATAGCACAAGCTTACGCCACAGTGAAACTGGGACAGTGGATCAGGTGTGCCTTACTTTAATTTTCTCTTCCTGTCAAATTTGGCTGCTGTTGTATGTTCCATTTAAGCTAATAGACCATACAATGATTTTTATCAAGAAAGAATATTAATTCAAGTTTGTTCTTCTTTCAATGCTGAATCTGGGCTTCTTTTTATATTAATTTTCTGTTATTGTCTTAATTTTATGGTGCTTTTGTAGGTGTTACTAACAACAAATGCCGATGGGTTGAGATTTGTGAAAGTAAGGGTGAGATCTGTTCGGATACCTCAGATCGGCGATAAGTTTAGCAGTAGGCATGGTCAAAAGGGAACAGTTGGCATGACTTACACGCAAGAAGACATGCCATGGACTGTCGAAGGCATCACCCCTGACATTATTGTGAATCCGCATGCTATCCCATCTCGAATGACAATTGGGCAGCTTATTGAGTGCATCATGGGTAAAGTTGCAGCTCACGTGGGGAAGGAAGGAGATGCTACTCCCTTCACGGATGTTACAGTGAGTTGTACTCTCTCAGAATTTTCTTCTTCTCTATCTCTCTCTTCTTTTTCTCTTGATAGGTAAGACAAACCACCCACTTAGTCTTAATTGGACCTAAACCCTCAACCTCATTTTTGAGAGGTGGAGGAGATAGCACTTAAGCAAATGTTTGGTGATACTCTTTCGGAATCATGGCTCATGAGATACTGAAAAGCACTTTCTCGTCTTTAAATAAATCGTTACATTTTCTTGGCTTGACTTTGCTTTCTAAAATAAGACAAGGACAGTCAATATTGAAGCTTGCAATTTAAATTTCGTAGGCCCTTCATGTAAATATTCTGACGGTAGCGAAGCTGCTGAGTCTCTGGATCATTGTGCATTAGAGTATGTACAGGGTAATGTTGTTACTATGTGCATTGCGGCCATTGCCTTACAAGACTCTCTCATTTACTTTGAGGAGCTATAAGCTCCAACTCTGACAGATGGTTTAGACATGAGGTCTCTGACATAATGTTTGTTATTGCTCAAATACCAGAATCAATTTTAATTTACTGAACTTTTCTAGAAATCTGAAGTCTGGGCGGTTTTAAATTTGTTGTCCTTTAAACAAGCAATCAACTTTTCTAATATTCTGTCTTGAAACCACTTGAAAATAATTTTTAATTTTAGTCTATCTAAAAATTTTCATGCTTTGTCATGGGGACTCCTATATTTATTTAACATTGTAATTTAATTTTCCTAATAAAATTTGAAATTGCATCATGGAAAGCTTTTATTTTATATTGCAATGAATTGAAACTGGATTTAGTTGCGTGCGATAGAAGTTCTAAATGTTAGTATTCATTCTTACATCATAATCCAGGTGGACAACATCAGCAAAGCTCTCCACAAATGTGGGTATCAAATGCGTGGGTTTGAGACGATGTATAATGGTCACACAGGGCGGAAGCTTACAGCTATGATATTCCTGGGCCCCACTTACTACCAAAGATTGAAGCACATGGTTGATGACAAAATCCATTCTCGTGGGAGAGGCCCTGTGCAGATCCTCACAAGGCAGCCTGCTGAGGGACGGTCACGTGATGGTGGTCTCAGATTTGGAGAGATGGAGCGGGATTGCATGATTGCACATGGTGCTGCTCATTTTCTTAAAGAAAGGTTGTTTGACCAAAGTGATGCATATAGGGTTCACGTCTGTGAGAAATGTGGGCTAATAGCTATTGCAAACCTCAAGAAGAATTCTTTTGAATGCAGAGGTTGCAAGAATAAAACTGACATTGTTCAGGTGAATGTCTTCTTGTCAATCTTTTGTTGGCAGCCATTGGCTTCTCTCTCTCTCTCTCTCTCTCTCTCACACACACACACACACACACACACACATTATCTTTACTCTGATTGTCTGGCTTGATGGTGAAATGCCTAATGTTGCCATATTTTTTGGTTTTGACGTTTTCATTTGCAGGTGCATATTCCTTATGCCTGTAAGCTGCTGTTCCAAGAGCTAATGTCCATGGCCATTGCACCAAGAATGCTCACAAAGGAAATCAAAGAAGCCAAGGAGAAGAAGAAGAAAGGAGCCTAATATACTTGGCCTTCTCTTAAGCTAAAACCTTTAATGGCCAAATAAAAGGAGCTCATGATGCTTCGGGGTCATGAATTCACTAGTTCTGCGTTCTTTTTTCCCGGAAGCTCATTGGTAGATCAGGTATTCTTGCAGGGTTTTGTAGCTCTTTTTGCAGAGTATGTGGTCAGCCATATTACCATGGAGTTAAGGTAACGGAAACTTTGACAAGCAAGAAGTCTTCACTGCGTTACCGTGCTGGTTGAGAGCAGCCTTGTGGAATTTTCTTTGCCACTATAGTTGTTGTGTGGCTACAAGCATCAATGAACAACGCACAATAGTATAACCTCCCCATCCTTAAAGAAGAGGGGAGGGGTTTGAGCTCGGTGTGGGCAGAAGTGTGTGTTTGCTTTACCACTATATATATATATATATATCTCCTTCCTTCTCTCCTCTGGTGGTTGTAATGAGCGACTGAGAGCAGTGGCCGGTGGGCTGTGTATTTTAGTTGTAATAGCATATGGTTTATTATTCTGAAGAAAATAAATTGGTTTCTTTTTATCAAGGGAAACAAATATATGTTTTTTGAGTTTTGAATTTTTTCTTTTGTTCATTTTGTCACGCATTTCAAATATTTGGTGGCATTGTATCATTGGATAAGCACAATCATACACGGACCATTTTTAATCGAGAAACATTTTGATTTTTTCATGTCATAAAGATGTGACGACTTAGGCTTTGTCAGGATAAAAAATATTGGAGATTCAAATATTTGGACATGTGAGATATTTGCTTGGAAACTAATATTGGTTGTAACTTCTCATGCTCAAACCAATTGTAAAATTTTGATTTCTTATTATCGACGGTCCAAGAGTTTTTGTTTTTTATGCAGTATGTATGTGTTACACATTGCCCCATAAAAGCTTCTAGGATAAAGAAATATATTTTTTAATTGAATATTGTGGTACAAATAATTGACTTTGTAGTTTGTACACGTTGAATTTCACTCGATCGTGTCTTGATAATATCTTTCCCTCCTTTTAAAGTGAGGCTTAATAATGTCTTTTCCTCCTTTTATAGTGAAATTTGTCATTGCACAAAAAATTTCAAAAAATGACATTTAAAAAATTGTAAACTAAGGAATTGCAGTGCCAGTGGGTCTTAAAAAATGACATTTAAAAAATTGTAAACTAAGGAATTGCAGTGCCAGTGGGTCTTTATGTAAATGCTGTGAAATTAAAATTTTTATAACTCAGTCAAAGTAAGTTAAAAACCAATCATATTTTACTTTTAAAAAATTAGAATTGTCATGTGCTAAGAGTTAATTGAGCACATTGAAGTGCTAATGTACATTCTCACTCATCTTCTCGTCGAGTCACCCTACTTATCCGGATTGGTTCATGTGATCGGATACTTGTATTAATTATAGCGACAAAGTATTTCCCTATTTAACTAAAAAAAATATATATATAAACTACTATATAGGACTAACACCAAACCTGTATATACTCGATTCAATTCAGTTTGTACCCACAAGACTTTCCTTGTAATAACATGCCTCAAGCAAAGTACTCTACAAAGTTAGTGTAAGAAAATCTTGTATGGCTGCCCAATGCAGAGAGTTAAAAAGTAAACATAAAAGTAACCGTTGTATATAAAATAACGGCACTCAGCAATACCAGATTCAAACATGGTAATAGAGCCTCGAGCTGTAACCGAGACTCCATTAAGATTGTGGGGGAGGACGAGGTGGAGGCTTGATGTGTCACGACAGTAGATTTTCTCCGCTTTGCTCTGGGCGATTACGGTTTTATGGTTAAAGGAGTGTCAACACATAAATGCCAAGAACTTCTCTAACAAAAGAAGGAATGTCCCATTCAATCCAAGCTCTTCTTGCAGCAGCAGGGTCCTTCAGATTCAGCAAAATAATTCTAGCTCTGAAAAAAGACACAAATTTTATTCAGAACAGAGGATTGGAAAGGACAATTTATGAAGGAATGCAAATCCGGAGAGGAAACATGTGGAATGAACTTCCACCTTGGAATGGAAAATGGGTTACATATGATATGGGACCAAGTGGATGGCGAAGGGATTGTAGGGTGGGAATGTGGGATAGGTACTCGACAATATGTCTGAGAGAAAAGAAAAGAAAAAGTTGCAGCTCACGTGGCGGAAGACATGCCATGGACTGTCGAAGGCATCACCCCTGACATTATTGTGAATCCGCATGCTATCCCATCTCGAATGACAATTGGGCAGCTTATTGAGTGCATCATGGGTAAAGTTGCAGCTCACGCGGGGAAGGAAGGAGATGCTACTCCCTTCACGGATGTTACAGTGAGTTGTACTCTCTCAGAATTTTCTTCTTCTCTATCTCTCTTTTCTTTTTCTCTTGATAGGTAAGACAAACCACCCACTTAGTCTTAATTGGACCTAAACCCTCAACCTCATTTTTGAGAGATGGAGGAGGTAGCACTTAAGCTAATGTTTGGATATACTCTCTCAGAATCATGGCTCATGAGATACTGAAATAAAAGCACTTTCGCATATTTAAACAAGTCTATACATTTTTGTATTTGTTGGGGATAGAATGCATGTCCTCTTACATTAGTAGAAGATTTGTTAGTAAGCTCAAGAGCTCCACTTGGTGGGATGATGGTAGCAAATCCAACTAGAATAAGGTTTGTTTGGTAGAATCCATATCTGTCTGTTGGGTTGAATCCGTTGTAGAGGAAATCAATGGATTGAGAAGGCACAACATTATCAAAAAGGAGGGAGAGAAGAAGAGCTACGTAAATGGGAGCAGCCATGGAGTTAATAAACCTACTCTTGGGGCTATGAGATCAAGCATTGATTCTCAATCCAAAGGGAACTTGCTACACCATCCTGTTTCAGTTCTTAAGTGGCCATTCATGCACACTCTGAAAAAACATATCAAGAACTAGGTATTGGTTGTGCTGCTAGTGCATCCTTTTGCAATACCGCCCATAGTTTCATATTGGTCTAAAGGATTATATGCTTTACTTTCTTTCACTGCGCCAATCAAGCTATAAGCTGCCGAAGGATCTCACTGCTAATTAAGTAACCTAGCTTCAAGCAGTACTTGAATAGCCAAGGGTCTTTTAACATGCAACTTAAAAGAAACACTAAGAATCACCTGAGTAAAATGGTTGCGAGGAATCAAGGAAAGATGGGCTGGCGAGTGGCTGTATTTGAGGAACAGAGGGCCTTCTTGCAGCCAATTGTTAGTCCGGAAGAGAGTTTCTGAACCATTTTTATCCCTGCTTTTGATTAAGAAGGGCATTGCTAAGGATCTCAGCTGAAGTAGCTTTTTCCATATCAACTGCTTTGTTGAGGTATGCTAAAATCCCCAAAATATCTCCTTCTGATTAAGTATTTTGTTTGAGTCATAGTTTGTTCTGAGTATTTGACACAAGTTTCCACGTATGTTTTAAAATTGCATCTCTGTTTTGTGTTTCCAAGCTAAGAAAGCCTAAACCACCATTTCAAATGTTGAAGTAGACTTCACTGGTGACACCACTTGACCAATGAATTGGATTGGCATAGTTTATTCGGTGTGTCTTTTCCGTTTACATAGCATAGCTCATTATTAAATAGTTTTCAAATTTAGCTTTTTCATGAATTGATCATTTGAGTTAATTAAGTCTTAAAAGGACATTCTTCTCCATTAACTGGTAATGATAAACCAAGATGACTCTGGTATTGTTAAGACACCCCAAGGAAACACCAAAATCAGCATAATAAATTTGTTATGCAGCCCCCTTGAAGCAAAGCAGTTGATGGTGATAGGTTGTATACTTTTGTTTTTGTTTTTGTTTTTGGTTTTTGTTTTTGTTTTTTTTTTTTTTTTTAGTGCTGACGTTTTCTACCTTTGTTACATATTTGAAGTTGTCAAAATTTATATGTTTGCAGACCCATAAGAGTGAGATTCTTTATTTTAGTATTCATTTACTTGCAGAATAAAAGAAGTGGAAGCCCCATAATTGTGAGATTTGATCGAGTCAATATATCTTATGCCAAACAATTTTCTAATAAATTATAGACTAGAAGAAGAAAGGCATTATAGAAAAGGAGATTGTGTTATATATTGATCAATTTAAAGGTACACGGAAAACAATAAAAGATTAATACATAGTTTTCTTTATTGAACACCCATGAATGTGATAGAAGGTGCAGGGTGCATTACATCGATCAATGTGGTTTGGGCAAGGGCAAACAAGACTACCTTAGATATAGTGAAATTGAAAATTTGCCCGAAGTAGTTGGGTAAAAAATTGTTATGTTTAACTGAATGATGGACTTCTGATATAAAATAGTCATTGATTAGTTGCTTTAGTTGGTTGGTCAAGATAACGTATGTTAATAGTTTGACTGAAGGTGGAAATTGAAGATCTTTGTGATTTTAGTGTGAAGTAGCTTTAGGTGGTTGGTTTTGTAATTTGTTTTTCCTGTGTTCCTGGGTGGTTCTTGGAAAAGCCTAATATTTTTTTTGTTAGTTTGGCTGAACTGAAATTATGGTTTTGCTTAAGATAATTGGTTAGTTGTTTTATGACTATATGGTTCTGTAACACTGGCAATCCTGGGTTGCTTTTAATGAACCTATGAGACAAAGGATGTAAAGATTCATCATTGTTTGATTGTAATTGTAATTTAAGTTTTACCAGAATCTGTTGTATTTATTGGTTAGTTAATGCAATTGTATGTGGGAGATAAAATTCGGTAATTGTTTGATGGGAAGCAAAAATGAAAACAAATTTTGTGTTGGTCTGAGTTCTTCTTGCCTAAGAAGCACGGACAATTCTATGGAGCTTCCATGTTTGTGACATTTTTAGACACTTTTAGACACGTGTTTGAACTTGTCCTCGACTATAATTTCCAAATAAATTACATTAAGTCATACACTTGGCCGGTGCAGCTAAGGCACTGCCCAAGTGATTTTTGTAGCACAAATACATTTTAAAAGGAATCACATAAGACAATTTTGAAAACAAGATGACATGCCCGAATTATTCAACCTTCCTTTTTCTATGGTATACGTGGTCACCACAAATACAATTGTAATGGCAAAAATATGGTAAAAGTATAGTAGTAGTATATTTAATATAATTGTCTTTCTGACTTTAAGCCTCATCTTCCACATTATAAATTAATGGAAGTTCTACGTATTTTATATAATAAATATGCCTAGCAATGCATTTTTTCCAACTATTTAGGGTCACCATTTTATATAAATAGATATACAAACTTTGTTAGTATTCTGTTCTTTAAAAATAAATGTGATTTTAAATGTTACAAGAGAAATAAATTATTATTGTTATACTATCCATAGAGTAAATTAGTTTTGTTGATTGCTTGATTGAAAGTAGAAATAGAATTTCCTTTATGGGCTAACTTTGCTTCTTGGTCATAATGATTATGGGTGTCTTGCAGACCATCTATGCTTTGGTCAGATATATCTTAGTAAGCCAATGATGTCAGATGGAGAAACTGTGACTTTGTTTCTGAAGGCAGCGAGATTGAGGAATCTAACATACTCGGCTCCATTGTTTGTGGATGTCACTAAGAGAGTGATAAAGAAAGGGCATGATGGTGAAGAAGTAACTGAAACTCAAGATTTTACTAAAGTCTTCGTTGGGAAGGTATGTGAATTGGATTCCGAACTGATGAAAGTTTGACATCTGGGAATAGGCTCTTATGCCTCTTTGTTGTCCTTCAGGATTGACTTTCTGCTTCTTTTTTGCCATATACTTTAGGTTCCTATAATGCTCTGGTCGAGCTACTGCACATTATATCAGAATTCAGAGAAAGATTTGACGGATCTGGGAGAGTGTCCATATGATCAAGGTGGGTATTTCATTAACAATGGGAGTGAAAAGGTTCTAATTGCTTAGGAGAAGATGAGCACCAATCACGTCTGTGTTTAAGAAGAGGAAGCCAAACAAGTATGCCTATGTGGCAGAAGTCCGATCAATGGTGGACTCCCAGAACAGGCCACCCAGTAGCATTTTTGTGTGGATGCTTTCACGGACTAGTGCCAAAGGGGTATGGGCATTAAATATGGTGTTTAGGGGTGTTTTTTGGAGCACTTTTTTATTTATTTATTTTTTTTTTTGCCTTTTGAATTCTTATGGAATTTATGAATTTTTTTTGTTGTTTTTGGGTATGTTATGTAACTGCAGGGCTCCTACCCTTCCGTACATTTGGACTGAGATTCCTATTATTATTGTGCTTCGGGCATTAGGATTTGTTGCTGACAAAGATATATTTGAGCATATTTGCTATGATTTCTCTGACACTCATGGAGTTGCTACGACCCTCCTTGGAAGAAGCATTTGTAATATAAAATCAACAGGTAACTCTCCCACTGTATTATATCATCATTTAATTTTTTTTATCTGTTATCCTTTTTTTATTTTTTATTTTTAACGGGTAGTTAGTGTGAGATTAGCTTTTCTTTCTGGTTTGCTCTGTATTGAATAAGCTAAACTTCAAGCAATATGAATAAATATAGCAGTTCATGTTTCCAATATGAACTAAACATAATCTTCGGGCTTGCTGGCATTAAAATTGTTTTTACCTTTCAAAAGTAATGTCCTTTCGGTTCTAATTCATATTTGATTTTTTAGCAGCTTCAATATCTTTGTTTAGGTTTCAGCTCTTGTTTCCTAGATTGCAAATTCAGTTTCATTGTAAATGTTAGCATCCATTTGATTTCTTCTCTCTCTTTTCTTTTTTTTTTTTTTTTTTTTCTCGCTATTCTTGTGGTGATGTGGCAGTGCGGCCTTACTGAGATGGTTATGCTTTTCTTCCCGTATTGCAGGTTGCACTGTACTACGTCGGGAAACGAGAGGCCACTGTTGGTGTCACAAATGAAAAGAGGATTAAATATGTGTTATGAATGCTGGCTGTTGCTATACACGAGTGTAAAGCTGTCTTTTGTGCTTCTTTTTTTGTTTAAGGAGAGTCTCCTGTTCATTTACTTCGTAGGTATGCCAAAGAGATCCTCCAAAAGGAAATGCTTCCTCATGTTGGTGTAGGAGAGTATTGTGAGACAAAGAAAGCTTACTATTTTGGGTAGGTTTTGTCTAATTTGAATATGTTCCTTTTTTGTGGCTTCTTAGTGATTTAGAGAGACATTAATTGCTTTTCTACCAGATATATTATTCACCAGCTTCTGCTACGTGCAATTGGACGAAGGGCGGAGGATGATAGGGATCACTATGGCAATAAGAGACTCGATCTTGCTGGTCCTTTGCTTGGTGGCCTCTTTCGAATGGTTTGTGATTGCTTTAATATTTTGGAGCTTCTATGACCATTTGAAAGTCCTTGATTTTCATTTGGGTTTTCAAAGATTTTGGGTTTCTAAAGTTTTGGTGGTTGTTTATATTACTGCAGCTAGTCAGAAAGTTAACAAGGGATGTGAGAGCTTATGCTCAGAAGGTTATTTTACATACGGAGTCTTTAATATAGTTTATATTTGATGCTTTTGCTGGTGCTTGAATGTATATAATTTTGTGCATCGTGCAGAGTGTTGACAATGGGAAGGATGTTAATCTGCAATTTGCAATTAAAGCGAAACCAATTACTAGTGGCCTTAAATACTCACTTGCTATTGGGAACCGGGGACAGGCAAATGCAGCCGGTGAATGTGCAGTATCATTTTTAAAATGTTCTCCGATTTCTATAGGTGTTAAATCGCCTAACATATGGCTCCACTTTGTCACACTTGTGAAGATTGAATTCTCCAATAGGGCGAGAAGGTATTTTAGTTTTCTCTGTCATTGTTTGTTCAATGATGCTGTTAAGGGTCTAGATTTCCCCATAAGGGCTCTCTCTCTCTCTCTCACACACACACACAGTTTCATCTATGTTGCAACTCCATTGCTTGTTTATTTTTTCTTAACCTTCAGCTTTAACTGTGTTATAAATTGCATTTACCAGGGAAACTAGCAAAACCACGGCAGTTGCACAATTCCCAATGGGGAATGATGTGCCCTGCAGAAACTCCTGAAGGACAAGTGAGTTTGCTGCATAATATAGAATTCTGCGTTATAATTTGCATCTTTTTCTACGTACATTTGTGTGTCATCTGGTGTTACATTAGGCTTGTGGACTGGTAAAGAATCTTGCACTGATGGTGTATATAACAGTTGGATCAGCAGCATATCCCATTTTGGAATTTTTGGAAGAATGGGGTACTGAGAATTTTGAGGTAGAGTATTTTGATTTTGGTATGTGTGGCTGTTATAATTTTAATAAGCTTCTTTCCTTGGTTTACAATTTTCCTTTTAATTTAGTTCAGAACAACTTTCAAAAAGAGGGCCATTTTGATTGACCATCAGAGTGTAGTATAAACTTTCACATACAAGTATCAACAGATTCACAAGGACCAACAAATCAAAAACTACGTTCTTACTCCAAATCAAAATAAAAAATATATATATGCAATTCAAAAATTTATTAATACACAATTTTGTAGCCTATAAGAATACAAAAATAGGAAGAAACTACTCTGCTAAATTATATCTTTGGATGTCTCTAGTAGCATGGATTAGGAACAACCCAAATGGGTGCTGGTTGAATCTTCTGCCAATCATGTTCATCTTCATTAATCACTTCTATACTCTGATTCTCCATGTCAAACCTGCCCGTGTCATGCCCATACATGTCATTCTCACCCAAATGATCACAATAGTAATTGTCCGTGAAGTAAATCGAATTCCCTTTACAAGATGGAAAACCCTTTGCTGAATGTGACACAGATTGATTCCGACCCAAAAACAGCACGCGATCATCGCCTATTGATGCCAGTTGTTCCCATGTTTTCTGACTGAAATCCAGCTTGTAAACATGAAATAGCTTTGTCAAGTGAGAACAAATACAGCATTGGTTCTCTTCATCAAGAAGGTCTGCCTCATGAACAACTACACCGTCCCAGCGAACATGATTCCCAATATACCTCACAATAAGCAGCAGATCACCCTTTGATTCCACTATGTAACTTTGAATGGTATAAAGATCATCTCCAAGAGAATTTTCAAATTCCACCCTTTTCTCAGGAAAAATAGGCTCAATCTGCATCTTTTTTGCAGGGACAGAATTATTGAAATCCCAGATTTCAACTGAAGCTGTTTCACCCAAAGCAATAATATGATCATGGTGAGAAATGATATCACAGTAGGCATGATCTGCACCATCCAGGGCAGTCCATTCACTGTCTCCATACTTCCAAAAGGCAAGCTTGGGATCAATTACACCATATATTACTCCTACCCAGTAGTTGTTCTTACTCTGAATTGGGTCTGATGAGAGTACAACTTTCTTAATATCCCGGACAAAGAAGCAATGAAGGCTTGTTTTGCGAACTTCAAAAAGAGGGAGTTGAATCCTAGCCCCCAAGAATGGATTGAAGATATGTGGGAATGCTTCTTGGTCCAACAAAATCAGCCACCCATGGGATGATCCTTTGCAATTACCCAAGTGTTCTGGAATATTCATCATCTGCTTGTACACTTTTTTCTCTGTAAAATTGTATAAGCAAGGGCTATTTTTTTTGCCATGATCTGGACCAGGAAGCAAGAGCAACGGTTGATCAAATAGGGGACTCTCTAGAGATGATTTTATGGCTTCTGCAACAGAGCACCAAGAACGACACACTGCTCCGGCGCTAAGCAAATCGACCACAGACAATCTGTTCAGGATTGACTTCCACAAGTTAGTGGGGAGTCCAGACCAATTCGGTGGTGGTGATGATGCTGATGTTTTTCTTCTTTTGATGCGATGACCCAAATAGGTTTTTTTGGAAATCACTGCCATGTCTATGTCTATGCTTCGAAACTCTACAGAGATTGATCACAAAATAGTTTCTTGTATGCGTATGTCTCTGTAATTTCTTGTAGACACAGATTGATCACAAAATAGTTTCTTGTATGCGTATGTCTGTAATTTCTTGTAGACAGAGGGATTGATCACAAAATAGTTTCTTGTGTGCGTATGTGTGTGTAATTTCTTGTAGACAGAGAGATTGATCAGAATAGTTTCGCACCGGCGGCCGGCTGTATTTGTTATATGTTATAGGCCGGTGTGTGTATATGTAAAGGCGGTGCGTATGTAAAGGCGGCGGTGTGCATGTTATATGTAAAGGCGGCGGTGCGTATGTTATGAAGGCGGTGTGTGTTGTGGGCCCAATTTTTGGCCCAATAGTTCCGTTTACACTCTGATTTTGCCTCACTCAAATCCAACTATATATATATATATATACATCGCTAGGGTATTAGGTGCTTTTGCCCGACTTATCTGCCGGATACTGTGCAAAGCATTCCCTTCGTATGGGTAAGGTAAAGTTCGGGCGTTCGGACTTGATCCCAGAAAATTACTTGTACTTAAAGAAAATCGAAACTTAAACTTGATAGTTAACGAGGCACCAAGCCGAGCTGACTCATTAGGTTAAATTCAACCGAAAATTTTGAATAAAAATCGAACAATTATTATTTTTAATCATTTCATTTTAATATTTATATCAAATTGCTATTTTATTAATAAAAAGAAAAAATTCCAAAAGCATGTTAAATTTTAGAAAACTGCAGTGAGATGCGTTTGGTGAACAAAATAAGTGCGGATAGATAATAGAGGTTTCATCCAAAAAGCGCGTTCACGAAGTTACAAATCGTAACTTTTTAAAATTGTGTTTTTAAGCGGACGTAGATTTTTTATGATATTATATTGTTTTGGACAATTTAATCCCTCTTTACTTTTATAAATACGACTTTGTCCTTAGCGTTAAAAAAATATACAAATATTATGCAAACCAATTTGTGTTGTCTAAAAACGGGAACTTGTTAGTATTGTTGTTATCATACCCTTCCCTTTAAGAAACCTATATATTAGAAATTTAGTGTCCTTCCTTTTAAGGTTTCACCTATATATTAGAGATTCAAGTTATATTAGAAGTTTAGTGGAGTTTAGTTCCATAATCATCCAATTTTTTTTCATTTATCCAAAATCTATATTTATATTATTTCTTGTCCATATATATCAACATGTTTTTTAGATCAACTTCTTGAATCGGGTATATTCATGAAAAAAACAAGCAATAATTAGTAAAACTAAATTTCAATCTTGAATCCTATACAATTTGAATTTCATAAATACGAGTGCTATTGTTTTTTTTTTTTTTTTTGTAAGCAAGAAGTCATATTAAATAGAACCAAAACAAAATATACAGAGGATAGGGATACTATTAGTAAATTCGGTAGTAAAAGTGCTTTAAACAACATTGTTACCAAACAAATTTACAAGTGCTTTAAATATAAAAATCGCTTTATAAAATACATTACCAAACGCATAACATGCTTTTTACTTACAGTAATTTTATAACCGCTCTACTAAAAACGCTTTTATAGTTTAAAGTACGTATAATACTTGATTCTCTTATGATCTTATCTAAGTTAACGACACTGACACCGTTTCATTTTTGAAGTGTTGCCATTTTTGAAAATTGAGAATCCATTCATAAATAAGTGAAAAATTTATTATATTACATGAAATTTTTTATAAAACTAATATGAAAATTTTTTTTTGGTGGAAAAATAATGTAGTGATAGCTGTTTACAAGAACCCATGATCTGATGGCCCACGGACCAGTGTGATCCAACCAGAAAGCTTTCCTTGTAGGCTAGAAAGCCCAACCCAATTTTGACCCCTAATTTCAGCTTGCATGTAGTTATAATATACATCTTTCGAATTCCACGTGGCTTGACATTATTTTGCTATGAAAAAAAATAATAATAAAAAATCATTGCACAAGAAGTTCCAAAAAAATGCCATTTAAAATATTGTAAGCTCTACCTACTATCGGGTTTGATCTTGGATTTCGAAAGATAGGAATTGTCAAGCGCTACAATGGTTCTTTGTGTAAATGTTGTGAAATAAAAAAATTTACTATAACTCTTGGTTAGTGTCATTGGAAGTTAAAAATCAAGCATATTTTATTTTTAAAAGTAGCATGAGGTTAATTGAACACGATAAAATTCGCTGACGAGATTTACTATTGCATTCAAATGATCAACATAAAGATACTTAACTCTGTTTGAGGGTACTCTCCTTTTTCCTAATAATAAGGGGAATTTTGACCGAGTTGTCACTCAGTAGCTTACGAAAAAAGAAGCATTATTTTTACCTAAAAAAAAAAGAAAAAAAGAAAGCATTATTCTTGATTTTTTTTTATTTTATAATTATTTATTGATTCTCAATGTGTAACAAACCAAGTCCACATCAAATGCCTTTTCTCCTAATCTCTTGAATTTTGAAAATCCCCCGAAGTATGTGTCTTAAAAACCATAAATGATGTAAATGTTGTGTACAAATTTTGAATTTGAAAATTAAGAATTAGTAAATGGAACAAATATTCTATTTTCACTGAGTATGGAAAAAAATCACAAAATCTATGTGATGTGATAAAATTAGAGAACCATACAATAATTTTTCACTATGTGTATATAAAATTTGGGTTAAAATCATAAAACCCCCATGTTATTTCCAAATTCTTCATATAACCCCCTCAATTATAAAAAAAACTCCCCGAAGTAAGAGAAACTATCACGTTGACCCCATTTTGTGACGGAACCGTTAAGTTGTTGCGAAATGATAATAATGTCATTGTCAATATATTAATTATTTATTAGGTAAAATTGCTGATTTTAAATGGCAAGTTTGACATTTGTGTGAAACGACGTCGTGTGAGGTGATACACACTCCCTCTCTATTAAAACACTCTTTCTAATAAAACGATTTGTGTCCTAAGTGTTGTGTTGTGTTGTGTTTGTGTTTATGTGGGCAGTGTATGGAAGCGAGTGCATGTTGAGGGCGATTGTTGAAAGCAAGTATTGTGTGTGTGCAATCGCTCATAGGGAGAAGATCGTGGTGGATTCCAGGTGGTTTGTGTCACATTTGTTGGATAAAATGGTGCCAGGTGTGGACAAACTGTAATACCTCTAATTTTCAATAGGATAAAATTGGAATTTAAATTTGATTCTATGTGCTTAGGTACCAAATTGTTTAATTAGTTGTTTTAGTTAAATGAATTATTTTGTTTAAATTGTGGTTATTGTTTGATTATTTAATTTAATTGCATTCCTTGATTTAATTGATTGGTGGTAATGGTTTAATTTATTGTTTGGTTTTTACTTATTTAATTAAGTTAAATGAGTATTTAAATTACGTTAATACAGTCATTTCAACCTATGGGCCGATTAGGGTTTTATTTAGGTTAGGGTTTCTATCTCAGATTACCATTAGAATTAGGGTTTTATCAGTGCCTATATATATATGTTTATAGCCTGAAAGAAGGGTGGGAAAATCCTATTCACGTCTCAAAACACAGTGTGATACAGAGTGAGGTTTTAAGAGAAACAAAACAAGTTTGTGAGGTTTCCGGCTGGGGCTTCAAGGTCAGACTTGGGAGAAGGGAAGAGCAGAAGTAAAAGGAGGCTAGACAGTAACTTAGTGTTGCCAGAACAGTGGACCCGACGCTGGGATTTCATAACTGAAATCACAGGCAAGTTCTTTCCTTCCTCTTTTCCTTTGGCTTGTGTTCTGTGCATCTAGATGGTCTCTAGGGTTTAATTAATCATTAACTGAGTTTCACATGTACAATAGATGCTATATTGATGATCTGTATGGGTTAAAATCTGATTAATTACAGTTCGTGCGTATTTGATATCAGTGTGTTTCTTAAAGCATGAAAAGTCTGTAGAACTTATAGTTTATGTATTTGATTTTAACTGCTGTAAACACACCATGGGGATTATACTGGACATAGTTAGGACTCTTAGGAACTATTGTAAAACCAAACAGACAGGTTGAGAGTGGCCGGAGACGAAGAAGAAGGCCGAAGGAGGTTCAGGTTTTTTTTTTTAAGATTGGGCATGCTTTTTTTTTTTTTAATGGAGCCTACTCAAAGTGTTTGGAACCGGCTCTTTTTTTTAATTGAGCTTGCTCAATGTTTGTTTGGAGCATGCTCTACGAGTTTAAGAGCAGACTCCCTTGTTTTCATGAAATCTGGACTTTTGGGCACTGTTTGGGGACTTGTTTGGTGTTCTGAAATGGTTTTTGAAGTGCACTATGGGTTTTAAATATAAGTTCATGAATTATTAAAGTCTCACATGGCAAAGATTATACCTATAGACTAGTGGATAAAACAGTATTAAACTATACAATTTAACATACTGTTAACGGATGGGTGGAACTGAACTGTTCTGGAAAAATTCTAGGACTGCACAGAATGATTGCGATACCCCTCGATTCTAGAGCCACGGGTGATCAAGTACGAGCACAGATCCGAGGGATATCAGACAATCAATATGTAAACAAGCAGGAAAAACTGAAATAAGATTTAAATAATAATAAACAGAAAGAATACTAAAATGAAAATCCTCAAACCTTAAATAATAAATCAATATAATTTAAATCCATACAACTCGGGAATCCACCTAGTGGACCCCTAAATCCAAATCTTTATATAAATTTACAGAATTAAAATCCAAAACCATAATAGAAAGGAAATCCTATGTAACCGGAAGAGTGAGTGTCTGTATCTGCATCAACACGATCAAACTCTAAGCTGGTACTGGCGAATACCTGAAAAATAAAGGTGGGTCAGGTCCACATGCAAGTTTCATTCTCCTACAATCCGTACATAAACCCGATACGCAGATACATCCTAGATAGCTCGGCAATATCTAAAATAGTCCATATATATACACACACTATAGGATGCTCACTAGCCTATAACATAGTCCAGCCTAGGTAGAAGGTGA